AGGTCTGCTGCAGGTCGCCCGACCTGCAGTATGTTTCGCAATCGAGATGTTACTTCTGAGTTTCCGAGATGCATGTAGAGCGCCACGCTGCCATGCACAGCAAAAGCGAAATACAGATTGACGAGAGGTTTCGCAGCCTTTTTTTACGGTGATTCGGACTGGATTGGTGCCAGCACGCGTGACTGCTACAGCAAGCTCTGAATACTAGCGATCACACAACATCCATCTCGCCCTTGCTCATTCGCTGGCCGAGGTTGGCACAAACCGTTGTGACGACTACGACTACCACGAACCAGGACCCGAATTCAATCCAAGAACTCCCGACAGCCATGGTTGCATCATGGGCCTTTCTCCGGGGCTTCCGGTGTCGCGCGCCCATGTGTGGAGGCCGGCCTCCCAGCCGACGAATCTTCTGTTGGCTGCAGTTCGCTACGACAAACGATGCTCGTGCTCTGTGCGTTATCAAAAGCCCGAGGTGAAGCGGCACCCACCAGGTACTGGGAATCATGACCGGACATCATGCCGGGACTGAAGGCGACTGTTGTCGCCGTTCGGATGAAACTTCCAATCGCCAATCTCCAAGCTACGAGTAGGCAACACACCCATGCCTGGTGACGGGCAGTGTAGGCAAAGGTGCCACGAAAGCAAAGGCCTCGCCGTCAATTCGCAGGGTTCAGCGTCCGGACTCTCACCCCGGGTTACGCTCTCACACCCGGTCTGGCTACATAAGGTGCCTCTCCCAGGGGCTTAGGGCTCCAAGGCTTAGGCTTTCGACTCTTACAACTTGGCAAGCGGGGCGATGCTCCGGCTCACTCACGAAAGACACGCAGTAGCTCAAAAGCTGCAGGCTTTGTTTAGTGTCGAAGGCGTTCAATGTTGGGCCGATGAGTAGTTGAAAGATTGCCTGCAGGTTCGGCGTAGTCAATGGAAGTTTCCCTTATAGGATTTGCCTTCGCAGCAGTTGGAAAGCAGACAAGACTGAGCGCTTCCCTCGATGCCTCCACCGAAACCGCCATCACAAAAATGCTGTCGCGTCTTCAGCACATCGGAAGCTTCCCCAGAAAGCTCTTGTAGCTTAGAACTGCCGAATGTGTGTATTTGTGATGTGTGGGATGGATCAGCTTGGCTGAAGTCGACGGCCATCCGAAGATTGACCGCACATGAGCTATGCTTTCAGCTGTTCGGGTGCTTGTTGAAAGTGATATTGGCATTGCCGCATTGCCACTGCCACTAACATCATCAGCATTCTAACTCTTGTTGCTACTGACTCAGCAGGCACCAGTCGTACTCTGCTATAGATCATCTCATGGGCCTGCAAACCTTGCCCGTTCATGTCTCTTTGCTGTATGCCTCTCAAGAGCCAGCACGGGTAAGCACCAAAACTGTGAAGGCAAAAGACGCTGCCAGTAATGTAGGGGCCTTAATAATTAAAAATAGGGTTTTGGGCTCCGAAATAATATAAATATATTAACATTAAGGAGCCCCCCCCCCCCCCAAATAGTATAGGTAATTATTAAGGCGTCTATAGTGTTCGGAGGAGACACCACTCGGCCATTCCAAACTCTTGCAGTCGAGGGTAGCAACTATCACTACGAGCCCAGCGTAGAGTATATATGACCAGCATTCGCCATTGGTGCTACTGTACGGTTCCCATGACAACTTGTTTTATGAGACGTATTTCTGCATTTGCAGCAAGCTTTCCAGAATGCCTGGAACGAGGATATCCATCTTCACAAATGTATAACATCGCTTCGCGAAGAGCGCGGAGAAACAACGGGCTCCGGCGCTTATCGGCTAAGCGCATCTGCTAATTTAGATGTGAACCGCGGACAGTGACAAAAGGCTGAACAAAAGAGTCTCCTGTAAACGGCGACAGGTAACCCTGAAAGATCTTGACTGTCCAAGTGGATAGAGTTGTCTAATTTCAGTTGCGGTCAACTCAGCATGCTGCAACTCAATCCACGACATCCCGAATCCCGATTGCCCGCAGGCTCCCTTGTTTCTGGTATGGCTCGTGCTTCGGTCTGGCAACATCACTCAATCCTCTTCCTCCTCCTCAGCAGCGGCCTGTTTGTGTCAGCAAGCCCGCAGAAAAGGCGTTGGTGCGACCCGAACTTGATGCGACATATATATGTATGTATGTATGCATACATGTATGTATGAATATGAATATATAGGCATACGTACACATATACATATACATAGATGTGTATATATGTATGTACGGATGTATGCATG